TTGGCGCGAAGTCCCAACTGTAAAACTCCGAGCAAATTTTTCGATCCTCTTTTGACCTCCAGGCAAAAATTTACCCCGGTTTTGTAGCCCACGAGAGAGCCCCACATCTTGCAAGAAATAGTTTTGAGAAAGCAATTCACCTCCTGAAAACCTCCCTTGAAAGTGCATGAAGCCGCCCACTGCTGTCGCCTAGGTAAACTTCAGAGGGAATTTTCATTTATTTTATTCTATAACCACCTCTTGAGCTATAAAAGTCGCTTCCCACACAGTTATCGCAATGATAATTTGCAACCCGGCGCCCCTCGAGGCTTCTCTTGGAAGGATTCAAGGTGAACCTAAAGTCACCTACATACTTATGTGCAGCGAAGGTTGCCTCCCCGAGGCGTCCCAAAGATTACAACAAAGTTGAGGGAGGCTCAAAAATAAGGATAAAGGATAAAGCATTTGCCGTTGATCAATCCCTTTTTGGGATGCGGCACGCATTCTACTTCCATTTGTACATTCGTAGTGGCGTTTGAATGCGATGTGGCCTATACAATGACTTGCGGGGGCCAGCCGATGTACAAGTCAGTGTTTTTATCCTCCCAGACAAGTCTGGTACCAATTAACCGACCCCGGAGGGATGGAAGGCTTGGTTGGCCCGGGCGACTCACGACCCAGGATTTGATCCCCGGACCGCTCGCGTGGTAAGCGTGCCACTTGCCACTACACCACTTCCGCCCACTCAAAAAATAATGTCAAGTATGCTCCTTATTGAACAGTGAAATGTTATCTCCAGCAAGGGTTTGAGCTCGTCAATCTTCAGAAGGTTCGAGGTTTTTCTGAGCTTTTCAAAAACTTGCATCCTAAAAAAGCGTATAGATGGGCTTGGTGCGGTTGGTGCAGTCTACTTCATTACAGGTCTAACGTCTTTGATGCTTTTGTGACCAAAAATGATCTACACAATTGCTTTTTTTGTTCTTCTACAGGAGCAATTGTGAAGCTTATCCCATTTTGGAATTTTGCACTTGCTTTGTGTTTTTCGAATTGAGTTCATTTCATGCACCAGTTCCTCTGTGCCTGTTCGTGTTCATCTGCCCATCCACACTCCACTTTTTTCTGCTAGCACTTCTCGCGTAGATTGCCCATTATCTCAGTATAAGCCTCTGAAAGCATTGCTCACCATAAAAACCAAGTTCAAGCTGGCTTCAGAAGATCGTTAAAGAAAGTGCAGAGGAATCGTTTTTGCGGACGACGAATTACATTATCTGCCCAGACGATTCGACAACGATCAACCCACCGGGGGCTATGAAGGCTTGGATGACATGGGCAAGATTTGGTCATCCAGTAGGCTTAAAGCTGTGCGTGATGGTGAAAGTCGTAGCATTTGATATAATAGCACTCCCGACGTGAATAAAAGCTACCCAAATTGGGGGAGACCCATCCTCACACAAAAGATAAGGGGATGAAATTCAGGGGTTGTCTATCTCCTTAAGGGATGCGCCAACGGAACTCCACTTTACTTGAACTGATAGGGGTTTTAAGATTTGGATGGATTTGAGTACACCGTGAGTTTTCGTACCAGGCAAGTCGATGTACTATCAGTATTTTCATAATTACTCAAAGGAAAAGTGAGAAGGAAGTGACAGATCGCGGTAAAGACGAGAGTTCTGGATGTATGGATTGCGTTGGCGGGCAAGCGGTGTGGGACCCAGGAATTCGGACTCTCAACTTGCTCATGTGGGGGTTGAGGACAAGGCCTATTTGCCACTGCACAAACGTCTTCACGCTACTTCCGCTTCAGTTTATTGCTTTCCAGAATATTGGCCGGCTGTTACTTCGGAATATTCGAGTGCGAGACTGAATGGGTGTGTAAACGTAATAAAAAAAAAAAAAAAAAAAAAAAAAAAAAAAAAAAAAAAAAAAAAAAAAAAAAAATGTCTGCGTCCTTTCTTTCCAGACAGATATTATGGTGAAGATTCTTTAACGAAGCCGCAGTCCATCTGATGATTTACGGTACAAATTGTCTTTTGAAAATTGTGGTGCTATTTCGGCAAACAGTACAAATAAAACAAATACTTTCACCTATTTCAGGACCTTATAAGAACAAACAGACGAGCTTAAAACTTTCAATTTATTTTACGATTATTAATTGTTTTTGGCCGATCAGAAATAAAGCAGAGGGACGCCAAGGAAGGCATTAATCCACTGTTCCCACGCGGTCATACCACCTAGAGCAAAATGTGTGACGTGCAGCCGACCAGCCGGCTTCTAACTCGAGCAGCCAAGGCCCACTTGGGCTTGTTTTGTCTCCTAACGCTGTTTTACGCAGCATGTTTGTTTTGCGAATATTTCCTAAGAAGATAGGTTAAGTGCAAAAGCTGCACGTACGTTTGCGAGATTTGGGTTCGAGTCCGCCTAGGGCGAAAGTTTTGCTCCTGACCCGGTAAGTTTTTTGGACACCGGCTTGTGGATTCCTTTGATTATTTTACAATGGCTTTTGGGAACGAGACAGCCGCCAGAACCCGCAGTTTTCCCCCGAACAGATAAATCAGCCCGATGGGTCGTCGAATTGAGCCATATTTCAAATTCATGTGGTCAAGTTCACAATACAGAACAATTTCAATTCGAGTTTTTGCCACCGAAAGGACCGCTCCGCGCTCAAGTCAAACAGGAAGCCAAATATGTATAGTGAAGATTTAGAAGGATTTTAAACATAGAGAAAATGGCTGTAGGCCGTATGAGAGACGAAAATCTATGAGCCTGGCCGACAACTGAGCGCGTGAACAGCCAGCAAAGCGCGGCAATTTTTCTTGAAGCGTCCTCAAAAGTCTTAGAAAATGTTCCACTGTACGAACGATTCGCACGATGTTTCAATACCATGCAATTAACGCCATCGGGCACATTCATGTGTGAGTTTTCCGCGGCTTTGAACGAGTTCTTCAGATGTCGTTTCAGCTCATTCTCTATTGGGATATGCGAGATAGAACGGCTTTACATTGGCGAGACATGTATGGCCTGTTCTAGGCTTTTCGGCTTAGCCCACAGTGATTAATCGACATTGCTTATCTGTCAATTCCTCGATACCGCAGCATTTCCGTTCCCATCTGACCACAACGAGGAAGTCGTCGCGAGGGAAAGTGCCTTTGTACCAGTTCCGACGGAGAGCGATCATTCCGAAATGGTCAATGGATGCTAGGAGAGAAATCCCATGCACTCTCATATAGGTCATGCCGTGCGAGGAATATAGGCTAATCGTCTGAGACCGAGAAAAAAAAACGTCATCGAAATTTCGAGTGAGGACTTTGTGATGGAATTTCTGGGGATTGGATCGCCGATTGGATTAGCATAGATTCGTTCTTTCAGGAGAGAGAAAGTAGAACTTTCGCACTTGCATCTGGCCAATCATTTCGTTCGTGGGCCGGAGCAGTGAAAGTAGGGGAATCTATCTGAAAGGGTTTTAAAAACTAAGGTTCTGAAGGAGTTTAGACAGCCACCCGTTATAGCAATATCGAGCGACAATGGCTGTTTATTCCACGTGGGAAGTAGCGCAAAGATGCTTAGCGCGATCCCAGTGATCATCGCAAGAATCGCTTGTCTATACATAAAATTCTGCATTTCCACGCTATCAAAGGGATCTCGCGGTTGGCTTGCCTATATGTGGCTCATCTAAAAATGAAATCCCACCGAGGACCATTGAACCATCCGTCAGCCCAGGTGTGGGCAGTCGGAGGTTTAGGACTACTTGAACTTTCTTCCATGGGCTACAAGATGTGCGGAGGCCGACGTGTGGAGATCGGCGCTGGCCTCGGCGCGCTTGGGGGGGCAGGAGGACTTCGAAGGTGGTTGAGCTAATACTGTGTGGCAAAGAGTTTGCAATGTTGATCATGGTCATGAGCCGCTGATGAAGGTGAGAGAGCGGTACGAGGAGATGGATTCGGAGGCACTTGTGTAGAAGGACCGGGTTCAAGTAGACTGCCAACCTGCTCAGGAAGGCAAAAGCAGTGGGTTGGACGGAGATTTTCCTCTTAAAACATTGCATAACCGGAACAGGGTTGGAAGAATTGGGGTGCTCGAGTTGAATATTGAATGCAAGATTTAACCTGCCGTTGCCTGAGTTTGTTACTGCAGGAAATATTTCTTCTTGACTATGTTTTATATTGTGAGTGCATTAAATATCTATTATAGCAAAAATGGTGGGAAGTATTCTATACACAAACGAAGAAACTAAGGACCTGTTCTCTTTTGTCTGCAGACATCCAGAGGCCATTCACAAATGTGGGCACTTCCGTAGCGCGAATTGCGCAGCAAGGCTGTAGAGTCTGCAGTAGTCTCAGCAGGCTTCATTTCTCTGTTCGCAGCAAGGCGTTTGTGTGGCACTCTCTCGGCCGCCGCTCAGCCAGGCATTCGTTTTGCATAGGCTATCACGGAGGTTTACAAACTTAAGGTGAGCATGTTCGACACACTTGTTTCCTTTCTTTCTGGATGCTGGCCATTGCACGAGCGCCATTTCGAGGTTCAGGATTAGACAGCTTTGATAGTGGAGATACTTTTAACAAGGAACAGTAATAAGGAGAAGGAAGTAGAATAGCAACATCAGTCGGTACGGTCGCCGTAGCAGTACTCCCACTCTTGTCTGGAACTTTCATCCGGAGAGGAAGATCGATATCAATCACTGCTGATCGCAATTATTCGACATTAACTCCCGAAAAAACGCGATTTCCATTATGAGCGTTCGACTGCAGACCACCCACAGTCATCCTGTTCGAACACTTCAATAACTGAGATAAAAGTCATCAGTCCAGGCGATTCGTTTCATTCGTTCCGTTGTAGATATCAAGGGAATAATAAGAAACTCATCAATAATTTATTTGGTAAAACCGTTTTTTGCAAAATGAACTGAACATACTAAACCTTTTCTGGCTATTTCTATTTACAGGAATGCATCACACCAATTTCTTTTCCAAGTTAAAAGATCAATGTTGGTTGTGGGTCGGCCGTCTACAGAAAGGTTCTGCTCCCTAGTGTCCTTCCGATACCAGTTTGTCGTAGGCATCCAACGTGAGGAAATCGCTCATATGCTCTTCAAGGGCGAATTTCTCCAAGAGTTCAGCTGCTTCAGGAAGTCTGGAAACTTCATTTATTGCTTTCGGTAGTAGTTCTGTCAATAAAATACGGAATAGAAAGGTATTAATTGTCCTGGCACCAATTTTTTGGCTCAGGTAGGCGCCGTGGCACTTACTTTTTCCGGGATTTTACCTTACATGGCTAGAAAAATGGAATGTAGATAAGTCTTAGAGGGTGCATATCGTTTAGGGGCTTATTAGAAGGATTCCACGGGAATAGAGTGATCATTTTGTCTTGGGTGTAGGATTAGTATTATTGAAACTAACGCTTATGTTCCGTTGTTTTTGCTATGCTCATGAGGCTAGCGGCCTAAGGGGTATCGTTTTTTCTGTGGTAATGGAGGCGGAGCTTTTTCCGTGGAAGAGATTCTTCAACGTGTTTAGTATTACTTTGACCGCTTTGCTAAATTACTTTAATTTTCATTGTATAAAATGGGAGGTGTGTTCACGCCTAAAGCTTTCGGGACATTGTTTTGACACCAAAAAGGTATAGATAGGCGGTAAATGAGAGAACCGACTTCAATGTGAGCAGAGCAAAGTTAGCTTTGCCCGCTCCGGAAGTGTCACGTTTGAAGATTCTCAGAAAAGTGAGGACGTGAGCATTTCGAGCTGACCGGTGCCCTTATTTTGATAAAAGAGATTGTCATACCCAGTTTTAAACAGTCCAATAAAATCAGACTGATCACGATTCAGTAGGAAATTTGCGCAGTTCTTACTTTACAGGCAAGCCTAGAAGGCTGAAAGAGGGCGATGTCAGATACCTTGCGTTCTCTCTGATTCCTGACATTCCAACCAGTTAGAGCTAAGAGCAGATAACGTCAAACGAGCGCGGCAATACTAAGGCGATTCGTCAGTGGTTAGAGAATGTTATCTATAGATGGATCATGACGAATTTCGTACACAATCTGTTGTTTACTGCTTGACAACAGATTCTCTGCCGATGAGTCGCCTCTCGGTGTTCGCGCAAGGATTTGTTTGTGTTGAATTAGGTGGCATCGATGGTTCGTCATCTGAAAGGGACGAGCTATCAAACATAGAAAGGTAGCCAATTGGGTAGAACATTCGGAGAATGCGCAGCTCGACTCACTTAGCGGCATCGGTGTCTCAGTCCTTGCGAGTTTGGTGAGGACTGATCTCAGATGTGGCAGCGTCCCCATGAGGTGTAGGTGGTAGGACATTCCAACGCGGCGATGCCAGAATCGAGATCGAAAGTAGCTTTTTTCGCAGATGTCAAAGGTAGGATGTGTCTTCTTACGAGTTACGCTGATGTTGGTGGTCGGACGTGATCTGTACGTGTGGCCTTCGCGTAGGGCGTAATTCTGGGGTCGTGAGCATGAAATCCTGGGCTGAAACAAGTTGGATTCTTTAGTGCGCGGGGAAATTAGACGGCATAACTAGCCTGACTTTCTCGCGAATCTGATTTCGCGAGGCATGCAAGTCGTCGTAAGACTTTGGCGAGCGTTGTGCACCAAACGCGGGATGGGACCATGTTGTCCGTGTGTCTGGAAAGATTCGTTTCAAGGATTGCGCATAGGTGAAACGTCCAGAAGTACAATAAAACCCCTCCACTCACGTCGTGGTCTCGTCCTGTGTCTTGATGGCCCAACGCAGAGCTTTATGTTGGCAACCTAGCAAAATGGTGTTGCAGGAGTGTAAGGTTCATTCGGATGAACTAAGGCTTACGTCATCGTTTTGATAGGATTTAGCGGCATTACCAGGTGCTGGTGAATTCCTCAAGCTGAGGGCACGGTTTGTACAAGAAGCGAGTATGCTCGCATGAATGGTGAAGTCATGCCTAAAATACTGCTTTTACCCAGCAGTTCTTTGTGAGGGACGCAAATGACCCACCAATCTGGAATCGGTCTGGCAATAAGAATTTTCTGTGATTCTGGAACGTCTTGATGTAGGAGAAGATGTAATCCCATCGTCCGCAATTCAGTCCAACAATGTGGTCTTTGAGCGCGTAGATGATCTCGTTCATCTACAAAAGACCTTCTTCATTGAGCATCTGGACTGATTTAACACCTTGGAGCTCGTGCAGCCCATATGCAGTCTGTCAACCTTTTGGGACCTTATGACCCACATTAGTTCACCAAGTATTAAGTTTTTCTTCTGTTTTAGTCTCCTTTTCATTCAATAAAATTTTTCTGAATCACTCAATAGGTTTCTGCTGCTTGACAAATTTTTTAAAAAATCCCCTGAAGTCCCAAGCGGCCGCAAAACGTAAAACATGCGCGGTCTCCAACGTGTTAACCGACTAAGATTTACCTGGAAGGTTGCCAGAAGATGCTCGATGAGTACAGTGCATTTGATAGTTCCTTTGGGTAGACCGAGCCTATCCTCAGAGTAGGCAAACACCTCGGCCCACAGTTTCGCCTCTTCGGCGTTTTGCAGTTTAGGCAAGTAGAAGTATGGTCCACTACCCTTGTCCTTCAGAACCTGAAACACTTTCAGCGTTAATTCTGAGGGCAGTAAAATGAAAAATAAGTAATAAATAATAAAAGTAATAAATAAGTAATAAAAGTAAAATAGTAATAAAAACGTGGCAATCAAGTAGCGATAGTAAAGTGAAACAAGAAGGTGCACTTCTTATGAACTGCAGCATAACCCTCTGCATGAGGATATGATTGGATTGATATTCAGAGCACCCAATGGGTTCTGAGGGTTAAGATAACCCGTTCTCAATCTTTCGGGCTACCTACCGGCTGGTTAACAAGAGTGATCATTAACCTCCTGCTCACCACAATCCTTCGCGGGGGACACAACAAGGAGCAGTAGAGTACTTCGAATCAAAAAATTCCACAACCCGGCTGGTGTGAGTGGAAGGTCCATAATGCCAGTTAGGCTGGTCCCAAAAACAACATTTTCGGAAAGCCTATAGAAAGAAGTTACCTTGGCGTTATGGTAGACGAAAAGACCGAAGTCGAAAAGTGATCCCGAGGTAGGTTTGTTGTGAATGAGAACGTGCTTCTCTGGTAGATGCCAACCACGTGGTCGGACGTTCAGCACTGAAAACAGCATTTATTTTTGTTTATAATTTTATTTTTACTTATAGGGTTTGAGATCTGAGTTCCCCTACTGGCGACTGCATCCTTACCAGCAACTTTTTGGTTGAGAGTGTATTCCTTCTTGGTGGCTGGCTGTATGTACGAGATGTTGTCTCTGACGGCATCGTAGAGATTGACCTGTCCTTCAACCTGATTCCTCCACGACGGTGTGTTGGAGTCTTCGAAATCGGCCATAAACACCTGAAGAACATGGTATTCTTTCCAAAGAGGGCTAATCTAGCGCAGCAGTAACCCACATTAGCACCCGAGTTCAGCGCGTTGATGACCATCTTGCGATCGGTGGGACCAGTGATCTCTAACCCCGACGGTCTGAAACATTGCAACATTAAGCTTTCCCCTTTCCCCCCATTTCCCTATAGCGCAACATACCTGAAGATCGTGTGGGATTTCAGATCCTTTCCATCCAAGATCCTCCCTCAGATGGGCGGTTTCGGATGAGAAATCAGGGAAGTAGACACCATCGTTGATTTCTATAAAAACACATCAAATATACACTCAATTTACTTTTATCTGGTCGAGCACGGTAAGAAAAACTTGTGATCTGGCCATTTTACCAATCCATTGGATCTGTTGCACCAAAAAGCTATACCTTAGCTCTACCTTAGGAGCTACGCCCACCAAACCTCGTGCCGAAATAGACAAATTTCAAGTCCGAAGATGGCGAAATTTGTAGTCCCGAAATTCTGTGAGCTTTGCTCCTACGATATCGTTCAGAATTTTTACATGCTCTGCCGTATCGGCGATAAGAAGCAGTCGTGAACCAGACGATGAACTCGAAGAGAAAGATCTCCGCCTAGGGGAAGGGGCGTTTGGGGAAAATATCTGGGGCGTATTAGGCATTTCATTCCTGAAATGCGATCAATAAATATTGGACTTCACCCGCGGGCCGAGGCGCTACTTCGCCATCCGGCTAAGAAGGAGTACTGAAATATTAAGGAATTCATTTCCCCGGCTGCGTAGGCAGCACACCTTCGGCCGGCATGGTCCCAAAGTTAGCATGAACAAAATTCCTCGGCGGTATTGCTTGGCAAAAGGTGCAGGACAAAGCTGGCTTCGCTAACTAGCTCCCCACTAAACATAACCTGAGCTCAACGAGGTCTCAATTCACCCAAACATGTCCTCGTAGCTTTATGATTATGACCTTTTGAGCGAACACCATTCTTTATTCTACTGTAGTTGAAGTTCAGGGAGCTTGCGATTCTCCTTCGCTCACTATTTGCGGATTATGAGTTTTTAGATTCTCTATTTCGTGAGAACCCTGACTCCGAGCTAACAAGGAAAGGATGGTAGGTCGAAGTGGCCGTATAAAATGAGATGTATACCACCTGATGCGTCTCTAGACGCTGATTCCAAATCTGCCTTCCAAATCTGCTAAACGGCTCTCCGAACGGAGTTATGAAGCGTAATAGCTCAGTGGTGATGGTCCGGGGTGGCAGGTAAAAGCTCGTAGGATCGGTTCCTTTGCAAATTGGTTGCTTTGCTTTTGTCTCTAGAAGTGTTGCGGACAAAAGCAAAGCAACAAACTTGCAAAGGAACCGATCCTACGAGCTTTTACCTGCCACCCCGGACCATCACCACTGAGCTATTACGCTTCATAGGTATACATCTTCATTTCGAACGGCCACTTCGACATACCATCCTTCCCTTGTAAGCAGACAGTTTTGGTTTTTCTGAAGGAAAGATTCGCGCTCACCAATTTGCACTTGTGTTCGTTTCTTCAGAAGCTGGCGTCGTTTAGCGTCAAACTTGATGTTCAGATCTTTAATGAAGCGGAGGCATCTGGGGTCAGGATCTTCTCATCACCAGCCGCCATTGGAGCAGTCAGCTGAAGTAGAATTATACTTGGGCTCGCTCCTCAACGACCTCATCGAACCACTTACCATAAGAATCTCCTCATCTTCACTGCTGGCTGTTGCTGTGTGGAATTGAGCCTCTTCAGTGGAGCCAGTTAGAGCAGTGGTGCTCGACTGGCCACCTGTGACCGCATTTGAAATGTGATCGAAGTAACCGGTACCAACTTCTCGTTGATGTTTCACGGCAGAGTACCCGTGCCTGAATCGATGAGGTTATCCCCTTGCCATACCTCGTCTGAGAATTAAAGCTTACTGTTCTGCCGCGAATTCCTGCTGTTGGAGAGAAGAATACGCCAGCATACCCTTCTCCTTGTAATTGCGTGCCAAATCGAACATACTGTAGCTGTTCGCATGGAATCCAGCCAAAGTGATGAACTGGTACTTGAAACCAAGGGCTCCGAGTTCCTGAAACCAAGAAATCAATCAGATCAGCACATCTAAGGGGCTCTGGTTTTCTGAGCAAGTACGAATCCCGGGTTCCCATGAATTTTCAGATCTCAAAATCTCGAACCTTCTGGAATTTCTCCAGCTGCGTTGGGCTGAGATGCTGCTTCCAGTTGAAGGAAGGCGAGCAATTGTAGGCAAACATCTTGTCAGGGTAGACCTGGAACAGCCATTTGAAAGCATGCCATTATTATTCTATAGAAAAAATTACCCACTTTTCTGACTCCCTCAGCAAATTCTCTGGCATCAGCGATAGTGGGATGGCTAGTTTCCATCCAAATGAGATCACAGTACGGTGCATAATTAATCGCTCGATCAATACAATACTGTAGAGCCGTGGAATCCTTCAACCTGTAAAACAAACGGGGTTCGAAGGATTTCATCTGGTGCACGAGTTCTGCTACCGTTGGTTG